AACAAAATATATAATATCCTCCTTGTTGAGATTTCAATCAATTGTAGCTATTATTTTTATCATTTCTGTTTTGTTGTACTGAAATTACACGTTCACAAAAGTTAAATCCATTGGTCTCAGCTGAATCAAATGTTACACATGTTGGTGAGAATACAGGATAGTGACAATGTTTTGCGTAGAGTGTGACAAACACATAGAGAATCCTCAACTATAATGATCCAGGCCTCGACAGTATAAACATCCACTCCAAATCCTTCAGGTGGAACTACTAGTCCATGACATCATGGACAGCCTTCCTCTATGTGTCTAATGGGCTGACAATAGCCTAAAAAAATCATTTGCATACTTCAAAGTATTCAAATGTTTTTTGCTGTTTGAAGCCCACAGAATTCTCTATTTTTCAGAATAAGCAAACCTCACTATTTCTTAACACCCCCGGTGAATGCTTATGCAAAAATAAAACAAATAGACACTTCCCTTTCTCTTTTGTTTGAAGTTTTTTTTTAATGTTTTTATCAATAGTTCCTGTTCTTTTCATTAAATCTCACATAATCTAAACAAGGAAACTTGCCAATGACTGATCCAGATATCAAATGGCTACTAATAAATTTGTCATTATAGTAGGTTGAGTCATTCTGACCTAGAATTCGTGTTTTTTTTTTTATTAACTTTAGTTTATGGGAGGCCTTTGCTTAGAAGTAAATTTGGTATATTTTTAATTTTACAATTTTTCTTTAACTATCTACAGCTATATCACATGATTTCATAATCATATATTGTTGATGAACAGTTTTCATTTGATAATTATTACTGCTACACTATTTACTTTGCTTTGCTTACATGGTATGATTAATATTTGTAGTATACACATACATGAATCAGTAACAAACAAAAAAAAACTTTTTTAAGGCCTGTAAGAGTCCACAAAAGAAGTAATCTATAAGTCGGAAGGTAAGATCAGAGGAAAGAGTTTTAGTCATAGGGTATCCTCTGGTGTGAAACATTTCAGCATGCAAATGGTGAATTTCATCGTCCTTTTGATGGTATTTGATGCAAGGTGGTACAATTTTTGTTCCAAAACAGACCAAGCAAATTTTTTCTTGTTATGGACCGGGATACGGAGTATTGAGTTACGCACTTGTGCAGAAACAGTGAGGAAAGTGTAAATGTTGATGGATGGGTAGGTGGGAAGATGGATGGATGGATGGATGGATAGATATATGGATGAATGGATTAATTAATAGATGGGATTGGTGGGTGCATGAATGAAAGTAAGATTGGATAGATGAATGGATAGATGGATGGACGAATGGTATAAGATGGGTTGGTTGGATGGATGGATGGACAGAATGGGTACATGAATGAAAGATAGAGGATGGATGAATGGATGGGTGGATGAATGAATTGATAGATTAGTGATATTATCTCCATACTTTTATGTACTACAACTAATTTTTTTTCCATGTGAAAGTTAATACAACATAGAGGGCAGTATATCATTAAACTCAATATTTAAAGTGATACAGTACATGTAATATCAATTGAAAATTTTAAAAAAGAACAGTGTTCTTGCCAACACCTAAACCATTCATTCAGTAATTTTCTGCATATGCATTACAATTTTCTAGAACACAATTTTAAAATTGTCCAAAAAGGCCAATGATACACAGATTGATAAATGAAATATTTTATTATTTTATAACGACCAATTTGATATTAGGCATGTAATAGAAGCTGTTTGCATAGTAGTAGCAATTTTTCCTGGTTTTCACTCTCCACCAAGGGGGGGGGGGCAGGCTGGTAAGTGGGCCTTGTAGGCTTAACAATATGCTGACTAGCTGCAATTGAACTGAGAACTGAGCATGTGCCTTAGATCCAATGACCATGATAATAATGGAAGAGCACAGAGGCCTTGTTGGCATGATGTGCTATATAATATTATATACCACATACATAGATTCCAGGCATCTGCTTGGTTAAAAATCAGGTAATAACTTCAACCCTACTCCTATGACGTTGGTTAAATGACAGTTCATAAATACCCGGGGAAAAGAGTATTATTACATATTTTTTCCCCTGTCTTGATGTAATCTCTAGGCCCCACTTATATTAAAAAAGACTTTTCAATAACAGATGACAGTATTAGGTCTAGAATATAACATTACACAGAGTCAACTGCGTATGCAAAGACCTTGAGTTCTCATACTCGTCTGAATTCCATGATGCCATTTGGCCCAAATTTACATTGTGCAAAGAACTTAACGCATTCTATGGTCCACAGCATCGTCACAAACGGAACTGTCACTACTCTGAAAAGAATGCCAGTGCCCCAGTTGTAATGATATTTTTCTCACTGTTCGGCAAATTAATTTGTCATTTTGGTAATACCATAACTTCAATATGTAAATTTTACAGAATATAAGCCCTGGTTTGTTCCTCCGACGACTGCTACAGAAGATCCATTCTCAGCTGATCACTGTGAAGTTGTCCATGGCGATTTACTTTAATATATACTTGACGAAATCCAAGCAACCAAACGTTTATTCTGTGCTTACATCGCATACAAAACAAATAACACTTTTTCCAACAAAGCAAAAATTGTAATTGTAAAGCCATGAGGTAAACATACTGTAAGTGTAAACATGCTAATCCATGCAATGAATGGAAATCAGGTTAAATTAGCATGTTTGGGAATAGAGCGCCAACGTAATTTTTGCTTCTTTAAGATAGCATTAGCAAATCAAGCTGATGCATATGAACACTTTAAAGGAGACTAAAGGTATGCCAGCTTACTGCCTTGCTTCTGAACATAGTTTTATGGCTACAGCATATTGCTTAGGCAATGTTAAATGGCTATACTGGTAGACGAGGGCAGTATTAAACACCTACTGCTAAAGTGCAACAGCATTAAACAGCTACAGTATATTGTCAGGTTAGAGCAAAAATTAAAGGGGAGTATTGCAAGCTGAAGGCAGTATTAAAATGCTATATTCGTGCCTAGGGCAGAGGGCGGTTATTATTAAATAGCTATATTTCTTGCTGAGGGCAATATTTAAAGATTATAATGTTAGCCTAGCTCAGTATTAAAATTCCATATTAATAGCCTAGGGGAGTTTATAACTAGCTAGGGAAGTATCTATATCTCTAGCCCAGGTATTAATAGACAATTTTGCTAGCCTAGTGCAGACATTATTACTGTATAGCTTAGAATGGTGTTAATCTGGGTCATAGAATATTATCAACCTAATAAAATGCATTTGTTAGATAGCAATTAAAGCTTTTTAAAATTGAAGTTAAAAATTAATGTGCACTATGACTTTCTACCCTTTTCTGGAGTCTAAAAAAATATATACTTTGACACCAACATATTTTATAATCTTTATTTTTTTCCAAAAAAAAAATAATGAAAATTGTGGCCCACCAAAGGGAAAAATGTCCCTGTACACTGTTGGCTACCACTTAGTTAATCTACTACACTTGTACAAGAGGTATTATAAAAAGAATTGAAATTTCAGTAGGCATTACTTAGACATTTATTTCAGAAAAATAGTATAAATTTCAGAATGTTTAATATGAGTTAAATTTCTCCTATTAAATTCTAAATGTAAAGGGTCCACTGTGAATTTTTTACAACTAAAATAGGCCAATGATTATCACAGAAATCAAATTTAAAAAATTCCAAACAGAAAATTTCAGCTTTATGAAACCATTCTATTATGGTTATGAAAATATACTGAATACATATACTGTACACTATAAGCAAAGAAGAACACACCATCATGTTGAGGTTCTTTGGTTATGTTTGGGAATAACAATTTAGTATGAATGTATTTATGAATAAATTGTTATTCCTGAAAACAACAATAAAGAGTCAAAATACTGAATCCAAACACGATGAAAAGTATTTTAAACTTTCTTATCTGAAATCAGTCAGTGGACCTGGCCGTTGGTAATGGTTCCTCTCATTTTTGTTTATATAAATATTCACATGTAATATCTGCTGCAAAGTGTAGATCACAGACTAAAAGACCAATTCAAATGCATAATCAACAAACTGAAAAAATGCAACACCACCTCCTTACTTCCATACAAATGTATTTATCAGAAGAAAAAAAACCTCTAAACAGAACTTAACACCATAATTTCTCTTATAGTCCATGTCCTCTAAATATATTGCCTACCTAGTTTTGATTAGAAAAATATTTATTGAAAAATACAAAACCAAATATAAAAATTCTGCTAGGTCCACTAAATGAAAGATGAAAACTCCTGCTTTATAATATACAGTACCACTTACAGTAACGACTTTTTGACTACTACTGTATCTACACTGAAAAGATATGAATTAAAAATGAAAGCAAATATTCACTGAAAATAAATAATAATTCCATGGAACGTGCTATACACACAAAGCAGAACATACACATTTTTATCAATAAAATTAATTCTCAGTAAAGTTAAACATGAATTAAAATTAATTGTATAATATACTATGGACAAGAGAAAGTACTGTTATGATTAATAATCCTGTATATTTATATTATTCTATTTTTGTTAGTATTTGATATATGATGCACCAGATTGTTAAATTTAACCAAAAAAAAAAATATAATGTATACTGTTTACCTATACATTATTCTACATGTATTATTAGTATACTAGAAATGATACAAAAATTTAATACATAAATATGTACTTTAAACCCTGCTCATACAGGGTAGTAAAATATATATTATAAGTAAAGAATTATAAATAGAAGAACCTGAAACACTAGTAAACCCATGACATGAATTTCATTTCATTCAAAACCTTATAAAAACAACACTGAATACATTATTAATGAAATGAATATTAGTATATATATATATATATATATATATATATATGAATATTCAAAACATAAATACAACGCAACAATAGATCAACAGTACAAAGATGAAATGAAGACTAGAAGAAGCATAGATCTGTGAAAATGGATATGTGTCAAGAATTGCATTTACCATTTCCTTGGCTTCCTTGCCTGTCCGTTGTTCTGCTGTTGAGGGCTCTCCTCAAGTTCATCGTCAACCGAATCGCTTCCTTGTTTCACCAGCTTTCGCCTGTAGGAGGGCTTAATTTTGATATGAGGCTTTCCGGAACCACTTGAGGGCTGCGATTTTCCAGCCCACCTGTGTGAATTAATAACGTGTCCAGGGGTTTTTAAGTTGCAAGGCCTTTTCTTCAACGTTAAAACAACTCCACTTTTATCAGCCTTGAGAGCTCCTATTAGTTTATTATGATTCCATCCAACCTGAAAAAATATATAAAATCAGATTTCAACAAAGATACAATACATTAGTATTGGTTCATCACATCATCAGAAATGGATGAGAAGTTGAGGGATCAGCATGTGAAAAAAATGCTCAATTTTGTGCTATCCAAAGCTGTTCTGAGAGGTTTTAGCATGTACTATGCCAAAAAAATATTATTTTTATAAATGTTACTCTTCCATTCATCCGAGTCATGACCAACCAGGGCCCTTGTGTGGTCCGTACACGAAAATGTCACGCTGCCGCACCAATGTTTAATACAGTACATTCACCGTTCTGGCCTGAACGTTGATTCAGCAGACAACAGTTTTACAGAAAATAATGTAACACACAATGTTCAGACATACGCAATTAAATTAACATGACATCATTACGTTCTACGTTATCACATATCGAAAACTCCCTAATGTAGAGTCAGCTAAAACCATGCTTTAAAATTGAGATGACAACAAGAATGTCACATCATCGCTGGAGTTGGTAACTTCATGTGACTATAATACGTCCTAGATCTTACTGTTGTTGTGTAATCGAAAGCTATTATCAACTTGTCTGTATCACATCCTTTTTGAGTTAAAAAAAGAAATACTCACCACTGTTTGTTTATTAATCTGTAGGACCTCATCACCAGGCTGTATCTTTTCATTAATGTGTGCAGGAGACTAAATATTGAAACAAATATAACATTACATATTAAACTAAGAATATATTGTAAGACTAAAAACTGCAATACTTAAAAAAAACATGTTATTACATATATCTACATACATACATTCAGGCATTCATTAGGATCATTGCTATTAACAACAGAAAAACCTGGCTGTGCCAGGACTGTGGTTTCTAAGCAAGTTTATATTATTATATTTCTTTAAAGTCCATTGTTTTTGTATTTAGGATGCACCGCCCTTGTGGTTGTGTGCTATAGTTTCAAAAGTGTATATCGCAAGCCTGCCACTGCAAGGCTGGTTGGTTAGAAATACCGCGACTGAGTATGCCTATGAATATAGCTTCAAACAATTAGGTGATTACTTGAACACAGCACAGCGCAGATTTATCAGGTACGTATTCAATATTCCTCATAAATGGAAAAGAAAATTGCAGAGGGTCGACAACACTAAACAACAATTGTATATGCCAAACGGTTGTTTTTATACCAGTTTATGTGTTTTCAAAGTAAATGTCAACTGTACTGTATACACTACCTAAAATGGATAACATACCATTCTATAGCATCTAAATGTGCTATAGAAACTAAAAGGAAATAAAAAACAAAAATAAATAATAAATACAATAGCTGTATAGTGAAGCTTTAGGGTAAATACCAGTGATTTATGTTATTTTAAAGGGATCAATCATAAAAAAGGGCCAGCAAAAATACAGATTATTATTTTGAACATGAAGAGTTCGAGCCACAAAACATAACTATATTTTCTCAAAATAACTTAAAACTATAAAGCCTTTTTGTAGATGAACCAGATTTTAACATAATGGTTGTAAAATGTTTGATGAAATTTGAAGTGAAAAATGAAAAACATTACTTACCCCAATTTTTGTATCTGTTATATAGTGGATTCCATCTAGTGTTGATGTCTTGATATACAATCCCTTGAAAGAAAATAATAAACAAGGTTTCTTTTAAATGGTATGCTCTAAAAAAAAATGTTTGCCGCCACAAAATTTTGCCTTGATTTTTTGCCTTGATGTATTTAACACAGTAGCTGATGCACACTATATATTTTTAGGAATCATAAAGTATGTTCAAATAATAAACTTGAGTCAGTGGGTCAGCCCTCTTCCCATCTAAACTTTTCAAAATTGTAAAAAAAGAATGGAGAAAGAAAGAAATATATATTCAAATTTAAGTCTTAGAGTGCCAATTCCGGCCATAATCAAAAAATTTCTTCAACACACCTAATACATCATCGTTATGTTATATTCATATATATATATATATATATATATATGTATGTGTGTATATATTTTTAATGTATTATGTGAAACTTTGAATGAACTGAAACTGAACTGAAACCATTAGTGGGGCTGATGTTCCTCCATTTGTGAAAGTCCCTCCCTGGGACCCCCTATTTTCAATTCCTGAATCTACCACTGTGAGTGGAGCTCTAGCTTAGTTGTTAAGATGCATGCTTTCCAATTCTAGGTACTGGGTTCAAACTTTCTCATTGCAAAGTTTTTCTCACAACTTAAAGCCAACTCTACTTCCTAAGCCTCAAAAAGACATATATTTTTTCAAGTATCGTTTATCTAATATAGAGTACTACAGTGTTATGTCACAATACCACATGATACTACTCTGTTGCTATTGTTGGAAAATGCGTTCAACCGGACGCCATTTTCTCCACTGACAAACCATTGATCCCAAGTTCTAACGTAACTATTAAGAGGTTGTATATTAGTTTTTCTTTGTAAATTTTAATTGAAGATTAAATGTGTGTCCGATAACTAATATAGTGCGAGCTTTTGTGTTTTTAGTACATTTTGTTAGTAAAATATTAGATTTTCAAATGCCTATTCCAGAAAGCATATGAAGTCATTCAGGTATAATGAACAGTAACCAATGTCTGGTTGGCGACAGAGGACACCACCTGGCATTGTGACGACACGACTGTGGTAATCTATACGGTAAGTGGCAAGTTCTGGATGTGAATGAAAGAAATAAAAACAATACTGTTTTATTTACTTTATAAGTTAGCTTCCAAATCAAAATTACAAGCAAATATTTAAAAACGTGCAATGGTAACATGAAACTTATCAAAATCGGAGAAAAAATGATAAAAATGATAACAAAATATATACACAAATTAATCATCAATCAGTATTATGGGCACAGTAAGAGAAGCATTAACCACTCAAATGCTTTAATGTTATTGCTATGATAGTATCAATATTAAGCTAATCTATAGTAGGCTTACCAATTCAACATCAGCGCTGGATTTTCTCAAGGTCACAACTTCAACATAAGCTGGTTGTATTATTAACGGATCGCACGCATTTCGGATGAAGTCTTCACTTAAAACTAACAACTCTTTACTCTGTAATTTAGGAATGGTAGAACAGTTTGAGGTTAGTCAAGTTCAAGGGTCTTTAATGTCATATATATGAGATTCGTTTTCCAAGGTTAACTTACAGAATGAATACAATTATGATTTAAATATATAATTTTATGAAGGAGTGCTTATTTATTTATTTATCAGCATAGCTGATACGTAGGGGCCCACTTTGACAACTCAAAGACGATACAGAAAAAGAGAAAATAAATGGTAACAACATAAAAATCAAGAATTAACAGATTTATAATATTTATACATAGTTTAAAAAGGTCAGTTATAATACATCATTAAAGAAAAAATTCAAGTGTAAATAGTGAATAAAGATAAAGGAGAACATTAATAGAGCAACAGCGAGTACCAAAGAACAAGAAGGACTTGAATCTGGTTTTAAATATTGCCAAGGACAGAGTGTTTTTCATTGAATATGGGAGTGAGTTGAGAAGAATAGGAGCAAGGTAACTGAAGCTGCATTTGAAAATTTCTTTTGGACAGCAAACAATTATTTAGGAGGGCCACTTTTACCGTCACAGCTTGGACGGCTTGGCCTACTGTACTCATATCGGCCTAGAACTACAGTAGTTGAGCCTGGTCTACTTTTAGCACATTTTATATATCCTTCAAATCTATTGAATGTTGTGTTAAACTAAAGCATGTTTTTGTTTGATAAACAGCCTTTGATTGAATTTACGTTGTTTTCTTACAAAAATTCAGTGGAGATTCCCAAAAAAGTAAGGCTAAACCATTGCCTACACTGTGAAAATTCACCTACAACACATGCATATCGTGTTAAAAAACATATTTACACCCGCTGGAAAATGGACGGTTCTAAATCCCCCACAATGCATGCACATTGCTCTGCAAATACGGAACATGACATTTGGTTCCCCGAGATATCGTTTTTGTCCGTAACTCCCTGGTTATAATTAATAAATAAAATACTGTAAAGCAGACTTTTTGTTAACATCACAAGTTAAATTTTAATAGTCAACAAAATAAAGTAGGCCTAGGCCTATACATCTCTCGATTCGAAGGACCAAGAGTAGAATTCAAACTAGACTATGGCGAGAGATGAAGATGCATCTGCATACTGTAGCCTACAGTAGAATAATATGTTAGTACACAAATGTAGCCGTGGACAGTGTATGTCTGTGACTGAAATATCTTTGTGATAGCTAGACAAAATTCCAACATTTAAAAACCTTACATACGGAGGGGACACCCCCTCCCAAACCTGCCCCAGCTTGGAGCTACGCAGAACAGCTGTCGCTATGCGACAAGTTCTTCGTCTTCCATTTTTGGAGGCCTGTTTCATTTTTCTGGCTAAACCCTGGTCCAAACCAAACAATTGTTAAAGCCTACTGGGCTGAATAATTACATAATCACAATTAACACAACCATCCAAACAATATATTGGATTACATAATTGAACTGATTGCAATTTTAGAAAGTTTGTAATACATCTAGATTTGAGGAAGATCCTGGGGTATCAATGTTTGTCATTCACATATAAACAAAAGAGATATTTACTTTTAACAGAAGAAAATATGATACTACTTAACTACCTAATGTCGGTAGCCAATAAATATACAATGTTAATATCATTGTGTATGTTGTACTTTATTGGTGTATTTTAAATATTGTTAATTTGATATAAACTCAGGATATTGTTTATATTTTAATCTGTAACTGGTAATATGAGAATGACTCAAAAATGTAACAACAACAATTAAATTGCAAGATATAACATTTTATAATGATAATGATAAGAACAAAAATAATGACCAAGTAACACCCAAAACAACAAAAACACAATTCAAAAAAACAATAAAACTTTAATAGTAGAAAAAATGATCAGGGCTCTAAAATAGTTCCCACAAATTATCATAAAAAATGAAAGATTTTTGATGCAAATAACAAGAAGTAATCATTTACAAACTTTCACCTGATTTCATGCACCTTCCTTACCATTGTTTATGTGAGCTGAATTAAAATAAAATAAACACAAGAAGTGATTTCATGTTTGTGTTTCTGGTATCTTTGAATGTTTATTGGAAGGAAGTACTTTAGAGTTGTACTTATTAAACAGGAAGCCAAAAAAACTTACAAATACAACAGAATAATGAAATAATACAAAATATTGTATGAGAGACCTCTGGTAAAATTAACACAAAAGCTCCTTCACCTTGCTTACCATTGTTTATGTGAGAAATTGCAATAAAATCAAATAAAATACAAGAAGTGATTTTCATGTGTTTCTGGTAAAGAAATAATCTCCAGGCAGAATGTTTATTGATAGGAAGTACTTAAGTTATATTTATTAAACAGGAAAGCAAGAAAGTTATAATTACAATGGAATAATGAAATAATACAAATATAAATTCAGGAAATAATGGAAATAATTTAACTCAAGAAATGGAAGTGGGCAGGACATGTTAGCAGAACTTCACACAACACATGGACAAAAACAGTAACAGAATGGAGACCCATGGATGACAAAAATAACAGGGAAGACAGCGATGGAGAGATGAGATTGATAAGTATTGCGGAAGAGCGAATTGGTGCAACACAGCAAGAAACAGAATGATATGGCATCAACATGCTGAGGTTTTCATCCAGCAGTGGACCGACAAAGCTGATGATAAATGAATTAATACAAAATTCAATGACATATACTTTCTGAGATGACGTATTAAATAAAATTTACACAATAACTTTCATTATTTAAAATGCTCACTTTGTATATTTTAAGCTTGCTTTTTAATACTTGAAAATTATGATTTTAATTGTCTAACGTTCAACGTTTGCGGACATGACAGTAAGGGAAGGCCCCAGATAGAACCCGCTCTGATCTAGTCTAGGCATGATGACAATTGTGATACAAGTATTTCTTATAGCTTGTGGTGGTGGTAGCACTGGCATTACCCAGGGCTGTGATGAGGTCACTTCTACCATGACCCACCCCCTTTAAAAACTTAAAACAGAAAACTATTATATTTGGCAATTAACATGAGGCATAAATAATAGGCATACTGTTTCTATATAAATTTATTATATAATGTAGACGCTTAATTGTCTTGATAACAATTTAATGAATTTTTGCAGTAAAAAATTTGTAAATCAGTGAAATAATATCTCATTAGAAGCACTTCAGTGTTTATAACATTTCCAGAGGCTTCAATGCAGTGCTTATTTGAGTGATGCACTCATTACAAATTACTGTACTGATATAAAATATCAAAACTGGATCAGTTATTGTACATAGGCCTATACGACATATTGAAAAATTACTATTGTTTAATCTGTAAGAAATCGCTTTTTAGTAATGTCCTTGAAAACATTATGGTAGAATTGCTGATATACTTTCGATTAAGCATACATTAGCAACCTTTATTCAAAACAGGATACAGAACATTTCGAATGCTCTGTCCAGGTTATCAAATGTTCTTTTACCAAAACCTATTGTATGCCCATATATAGTCATTTTGTGCTTATACTGTATATGGTCATGACGTGATGTCATCATGACCATATATAGGCATGTCACGTTTTTTTGTCAAATAAAATTTGATAGTTTGGTGGGCTATAGTGCTGTTGCACTTTATTCAACAGCAGCACACATTTGAGAAAGTTGTTTATTAGATCATAATACAGTACTCATTATAATCAAATGATCAATGAGAGGTCAATGAATATGAATATGTACTCACGATTAAGAGCTGCAAGCTCTTTTAAAATCAAAATGATTGGTTTACTAACCGTGGTTAATATTGCACGCTCAACAATTGCAGCATCACCTGTGAGTTGTGAAAATGAATTCAGTTTCATTACATGCTCCAGTACTTTCTGACGAACTGCATTGTACTCACTGCTGACAGAGAAAGGCAGTCTGAAATTCAAACACTCTCATTAATATTTTAGAACATCATGTTCATATACTGTATGTATCGATCGGCTTTTAGCGCTTCTAAGTACGATTTTTAATATGTTTTATGATAGATGCAGTACTGAGAGCCACTGTGAATCCTTGTTGTATAGCACAATTAACGATAAACATTATTATACAGTTTGTCTCCTGCCACCCCAACTTGGGACCACCTTTGGGACCTGAAAAGTTAGGGTGATGTCGGCCATTGTCTCGATCAATTAGAGGGTTAGCTTTGCATTATATGATTGAAGATTATTATTTGGTTCTTTAAAATAGTGGTCTCAAATTACAGGTCTCGAATTAGAGGGTGCACTGTATATCACCATTGTAAATTTTACTTGGAAATTACAGTACAAACTAAAATAGATGTTTGTACACATCATATTATGATTTCTTATGAAATAGAATTTTATAATAATGATTAAAATGGTAAGAAGAGTAAATTATAATTTAAAAAAATATGTATAGAAATAGATAAACAATAAAAATTGAAATAAGTAATAACTATGGTATTAATAAAAAATAAATGAATAGACACCTTCATATCATACAAATTTTAACATTAAATATTCAATATGGAAACAATAGAAACCATCCTTATCAAATCATAAAATATTTCCAAAACTGAGAATGAAGAAATAACGATATTAGTTGCAGTTACATTACATTAGACAGTGTAATTTATAGTGTACCTGAATTAAATCTAACAATATTAAATTGACTTTTGTTTTATTTGTCACCAATCACTTGTTATGATAATAGTGCTGTGTTCTTTGTTTTGTTGTTTTATTCATATTTAATATACTTTTAGCGCATAATGCAAAAAAGCTTCTATGCACTTCAAACCAAATAATATTTTTTAAAACTTGCACAAATAAGAAAAGCAAAATCTCAAAAGGGTCTTGTGAGTCAAAAACAAACTCAGTCAAGTGTGCTTTTGTGGGAGCCACTAGACAAAGTAAGGAAATTAGAAGAAGGCAACGTTACAAATGGATAAACAGCATGGAAAAACAGCTAGTCCTCCTAAACCTCACACTAATGATGAAACAGCTATAAGCACCAGTGGCATATCTAGAAGGGGTGCGAGGAAGCACACGCCACAACAAAACATTACTCGTTTCTCCAGTCACGCCTCCCTCCCCCCAAAAAAAATCACTTTTAAGTAGTTAAAAATCACCTAAAATCAACTTATTTTGTGAATTAGCGTCCCTCAACTGATCATTGTGCCCC